GAGATGCTTTAGACCAGTAGTTCTCAAACTGTAGCATCAAAATTCCCTAGAAGGCTTGTTAGAACACAGATGACTGGGCCTAATCCCAGATTTTCTGATTCAGTAGGTTTGGGGAAGGCCCACGAATTGAACCAGGGATTACACTTTGAGAACTGACCAGTCTACTCAGTTTTACTGATGAGGAATCTGAGCTCCTTAGGGTTAGATCATATTGTGTTAATGCTAAGCATTTTTTGAAAAATGGAAAACCTCCAGTGTACCAATATGGAAAATAAAACTCTTCTAACCTTAGCTGCTAAAATATGATTTTGTTTTAAGTGGTGCTTCAGAATGAAATGTTTCATTGAAAGGTTTTCTTTAGTCACTCCCCTTTACCAGTCCATGCCCTGCCCTTTTCCATTCTCCCCCTGCCCCCACCCCTGCCCCTACAACAACAACAAAAAAACCCACCACCAGTGACAGGGTAGAGTTTAGGGAATGTCTATAGATTTTACTGAACTCCTGAATTCTGTGCATACAGATAAGACTTGGTTTTCAGTTGATTAAATAAGGTTACCTACCTATCTACCTCAGAAAGTATCACATACTTAAAGATTTGCAAAAAACCCACATGGCTTATATGGTAAAAACATTTATACAACTCAAGTAGAAGGATGCTAATACTCCTTTATTTATTAACGTTGAAAAGGTTTCTTTCTGCCTTTGGGCCTTGATACAATACTGTTCCTTCTGCTGAGAAAGCTCTTCCACCCACCTTTCCTTTTGTTTCAAGCTTAAATGCGATACCTCTGGCAAGGCTAGGTCCTCCTCCTGTGGCATTCTCAGTCTGCCAGCACCAGTGCTCTGTCTTACTGAATGTTAATGATTTGTGCAACGATTTGTGTATATCTCCTGAGCTAGAATGTAAACTTCATTAAGAGTTGTCTGCTTGGTTCATCCCTTCTTCTCCAGCTCCTAGAACAGTGCCTGATACACAGTAGGTAGGTACTTGTATTTGTTGACTATATTCCTGGCTGAAGATACATTTAGTAGTGTATATGACTAAAAGAATCCTAAAATCAGTCCCTAAGTTTATTTTAGTATTGTCTGATCTCAAAAAATTATAAAAATGCCATGTAATTTTTAACTTCTGAATTTTAAATTTACAATAAAAATTTCATGTCAAAAAATTATACGGTAATATAGTATCCATAGCAGGAATTGAGTTCTGACCTCATTCATTCTTTACTGTACTATACATCCGACAATGTGCTCAATAGAAGCAAGACACATTGAAGTCACATCTTAAAATTGTTGTGGCAGAGTGCAAATTAAAACTACTCTCAAAGAAAAAAATCCCTTAAATTACAGGATAGGAGCTACAAGGCACTTAAAAGCTGCCAGTTTCCTTTCTTTCAGCATCATTTTTGCTGGGACAGTGGGACCAAGGTCTAATGTACAGTTTCTTTACCCAGCCCCATTGCCTAGTGGGGCTAGTACAGCTGAACTAAGTTAGGCTACACGGCATAGGATGGGGTCCACTGTGATGCATCTGTGCTTATGGTGGCTTTCTTTACTACACCCAGGTCCCCAGACCCCCCCCTGCAGTTCCAGAACAGTACCTACTTTCAACTAGAGCATAAACTGCTCATTTTCTCCACCACCAAGTGCTTTAAGGGCCAGGACACAGCCTTCTGGGCAGTGGTCCTTGACCTTGGTCACACACTGAAATCACTGGAACACTAGGAAAATCTCTGAGCACTGGACTCCCTGGAGACCAGCTGAATCAGAATTGTTGCAGCAGGGCTTGGGCATTTTTCCAATGATAAAGTCTTTTTCTACTCAAGGAATAAACTCAATTCTGGTTGAGTCAGGATTTTATGAATTAAACTTCATAAATATTTATTCTAAATTACTTCACTTATATGTTGTAAGATTAGTGCTTCCATTTTTGTGAATTTGATATTACCTAAGTGAATGGGAAATGAAGTATGTCTGTTAAAACCCAATCAATATTAACTTGTTAAAAACATTCTTCAATCTAAATTGCTTTTAAATCAATGACAAGTTGTAATACAGAAATTAGCAAATTTGATAGCACCAATTCAATAAAGTAATTTAGAATTATCTAACAGCACATTCTGTGAAATTCTCAATATGATGTTCCTTGGTTATGACATAATTATATCTTTCAATCATTTGAAACATTGTTGTAACTTGCACACAGGATTTTAAGTGAAAACAAATGGCCAGAAATGTGGAAGAGCTGAGAATCAGGAGACAACTCAGTTACCAGGCTCCTCACCAAGAAGTTTTTAGATCTTCATCTCTCCATTGAGCCAGCATTTAGCACACACACTTCGAGCTGCATGGGTGCTGAAGCTGCTGAAGACTGAACATGTTCTCCATAACTATTTACATATTTGTTCATTTCTTTTTCTCCCGTTCCTTCTTTTTAGAGTTCAAAACTGCCAGATTCTATAATTAGTAAATGTTATAAAATTGAACTTATAAATCATATTTGCACTGCTAAAAAAAATTTTAACAATTTAGTTTAAAGATCTAACTGCCTTTTATTAGCAATTCATGTATTGGGCAACATCTCATCTAAAGATCTAGAAAAGGTGCTCCTACTGAGCCTATAGAGGATGTGGGATTTATAGGCAGACAAGAGCTAAAGAAGAGAAAAGAGAGAAAAGCAGATTGGTCATTTCAAAGTTACTTTCCTTACAGGGTTAAAACAGAGGTGAGACTTCCTGATCATGCTGGCTCAGGTAAACTGAGTCCCTTCTAATTCTTTGCAGAGAATCTCCTGTATTTTAGAAAACAGGCCTATTTCAAAGTTTAATTTGATTACATGGCACCTGGCACCAGTGGCTTCATTCTGATTTGGTATGGTCTGTTGAGCCTAGTGCAGAACCTTAGTCTAAAACAATGGCCTCCTATAAGTTTCATTTAACAGTACTAAGATATACCACTTTAAATTTATTTACATTGGAGTCTCACTACTAAGAAAATAATGGAGCAATCATGGTAGAGTTGAAAGATCAAACGCTAGTAAAATTTAATACCATTTAATAGTGCTAAACATAACTGGTTTCTAGTTATAATTCAGCTATCTACTTCAAGTAAAAAGGGAAATTCAAAAATCTGAAACTATAAAATGATTGTTGAGTATAATGGAATAAAAATAAAATAGCTGATTCTATCCTCACTGCCACTACTGCACTCCTACCCTTGACAGCTGCAACAGATTCCTTCCTAAGTGGTGATATGTTGGCCCATCCTATACCCACTTCCTTCTGAAAAATCCCTCTACTTTCCTCAAGATAAAGTCCAAACCCCTAAACATGGCTTAGCAGGCCCTTCAAGATCTGACTCTTGAGGTCTTCTTACCTCTGTGCCCTAACACCCATTCTCATTACTGATCATTATCCCCCCTACTCTGCTTCAGCTAGACTGGCCTTTCTTGCAGTTCCTGTAAGCAAATCTTATTCCAGCATAAGAGGCTTTGCACTTTTGATTCTCTCTGCCTGGAAAATTCTTCCCCAGATCTTGGAATGGTTAACTTTTTGTCATTCGGATCGCTGCTCAAATGTCACTTCTTCAGAGACCTTTACTGACTACCTGTCGTAGTCCATTTTCTGTTGCTTATAACAGAATTCCTAAAACTGAGTGATTTATAAAGAAAAGGAATTTATTTCTTATAGCTTTGGAGGCTAAATGCAAGGTTGAAGGGCCACAACTGGTGAGGGCCTTCTTCCTGGTTGGAGGAAGCGTTGCAAGGGGCTGAATGTGTTCAAGTGCTATATCGGGTTTCTCTTCCTCTTCTTATAAAACCACCAGTTCTACTCCCATGATAACCCGATGACCCGTTACCCCATTAATCCATGAATGAATTAATACTTTCACGAAGGCAGACCCCTCATGATTCGGCAACCTTTTAAAAGCCCCATCTTTCAATACTGCCACATTGGGGAATAAGTTTTAACATGAGTTTTGAAGGGAAAAAATATTCAAACCATAGCACTACCTATCTAAAATAGCCCACCACATCCCAGTCAAACTCGATCCCACTATTTTGTCTGATCTTCACATAACATATTCCTATCTGATAATTTTGCGTTTGTCTGTCTCCCTTGAATGACTATCTTGTTCACTGTTGTCTCCCCAACGACTAAAAGTAGCCAGTAACCACTTGCTAAATGAATAAATGTGCTTAATAAATATGTCTTGATTAGTCCATCTCTAATGTTTCCCACTCTCCCTTTCCCTTCACGCCCAGGAATCCGTAAGGGTCCCTATCCTTGTAAGAAAAGCCTTGAACCAGCATCACATCCCAATGAGAGTCCTCTCTTCCACGTAAAGCCAGGCATTCCCAGCCTGATAGCTAACGGTATCTCAGGGACCGACAGACATTCCAAGGACCGGGTACTCGCGTCTGAGGAGGACTGAGGAGGCGCAGCGCGACAGGGCGCTCCCCTCTTCGCTTCCTGGAGACTGCCACCTCCCAAACCGTAAGACCCAGATCAGCCCCTCAGACTGTTGCATTCACGCCTCCCTCACCGTCGAGCTCAGCTGCCGTTTCCGGTTACCTGCCTAGGATCCAGCTCCGGTCACAGCCTCCACACAGCCATTCCAGGAAACACCTGCCCTCTCCGGGCCACCGTAGTTCACGGAGAGTACACGCTGGCTCCTCCTCCCGCATGCGTAGAGGCCCCGTTCGCGTACAGTGTCTCTTAGCAACCGCTTCGAGTCTCTTTGCCAGGGGCGGAGCCTCGGAAGGCACCGCGGGGAAGCCGAGGGGGAAGTGAGTGAGACCAATCGGAGACGAGTTCCAGCCCCGATCGGCACGCCTCCTCTAATTGTCGCGAATGCAGAGGCAGCTTTACGGCACGCAGAGGGTGGGGGGTGCTGGGGGTAAGGAGGAGAGAAGGAAGCAACCAGCCAACCAAGTCACCCCCATCTCCCACCCCCACCCACCCCGGACCTGGTTTACGGCTCCAGGCTCAGGCTGCACTGCGGTCGCTGATTGGTTGCTGAAGGCTTGGTCCCATCCCAGTGACCCCAAAGTGCTGGAGGGAGGGGGCGGGGGTGGCCCAGTGCAAAGTGCATCCCGCAAGCCCCCTGGCCGTAGACCCCACAGCTGGCACTTCGGACCCTGTATGACCTGGGACCTAGCTGTCCCGAGACCTCCTGGGTCCCTCTGTAGCTGGAAGCCTCTGGCCCGGAACGCGGCAGCCCCCTGCTTCGAGCTCCTGGACCGGGACTGCCCCCCCACAACCAGAGCCGGGACTTCCTCTCTGCACCCCTGCCCAGAGGCTGCCCGGCGGCCGGGACCTCCACCTCCCGCCTGCTCGGCTGTCTGGATGCTCTCTGTGCTGGGGCCGTGAGGCACCGAGGAGGATCAGGAACACCCAGGTCCGGCCCTGTCTGGGGTGTTTCTTCAATGGAGAAGTTGGTGAGTGTGGAAGAGGCTGAAAGGAGGAAGAGAAACAGCAGCTGAGGAGACAGGTAAAGTCAGTTACCTTCCCCGAGGGGAAGGGGACGGGCTGGGAGGGTAGCAGGGAGGAGAATCTCTGCTCCTTTACTGCCTGCTCTTGCCACTTCTCCAGCCCCTTCTTTAGCTCCCCCTTCCTTGAGCCCCCTCCTCGCCCCTGAGGCACTACACCACTCACTGGTTTCTGTTTCTAGGTTTGAGCTGGCTGGAGACAGGAAAGCTGGAACGGGTCTGCCCACCCACCAGAGAAGCAGCAAACACAGTGCCTCTGACCAGCATCCTCTATAAAGGTAATAAGCCAGCCCTCCCCTCCCCCATTGTTTATTCTTGGCCCCTACCTCATTAATCAGTGCTTTATTTTCAGGGTGGTTGCCTGGGAATGCACCCTTTCCGAGCCCCCAGTTTCCTAGCGAAACAAAAACACTGCCCATTCCTGATCCTTAATATTTTAATAACTTCTCTACCCCAGAAATATATTTTTCTCCTTTCTCTCTGTGCAGTGTATTTCTGTGTTTTGTGTTATCTTTCGGTACACTGTGCCATTTATTCTGCTCTGAGGCCTTGAGACCTTTTTTGTAGCTCCCTCGCCTTCCTTACTCTCATAGGAATTCGTCAATTCCTTGTTAATTGCTTGTTAATTCTCAATGACTTTGCTTTTTAATTAAACCACAATTTAATGCTTCCCCCCTTACTCTTTCTCATCACCTTTCCTCTACCTGCCTCAGAAAATCTTTTGAGTTACCTAACTGACAGTGGTTTGGTGGGGAAAGGTAAATTAATGGTTTGACATTTGTGAATTTCAGAAAATAAATTGATTTTATTTCCTAGTAAGAAGTGGATGTGTATACCTTAATAGTGTGCATGGCATGAAGGCAATGTTAGCTCCCCTGAAGCACTTACGTATAATTAACTCTTTAGGCGCTCACGCATGTGTGTGTGTGTGTGTGTGTGTGTGTGTGTGAGAGAGAGAGAGAGAGAGAGAGAGAGAGAGAGAGAGAGAGAAATGTAGACGGGCTCTGAAACTTATAAAAATATAAATAATATTTGTTACACCTCAGGTTTTGCAGAAGAACTTTTAAAAATTTACACAGTTTCTTGTTAATTATTTGAGTCTTAAGAATTTAAATACAAAGGAAACTTTTGGTGTGTTTAGATAGCTGGGGCTTAATTTTGGTACTCTTCATAGATAAGATTTCTCATTTCAAAACCTTTACAGAGAATTTGCTAGATTGAAATTTAAGCATCTTATTCGTGGGTCGCATTTCTGCTCCTATATTTTGTTGCTGCCTCTGGAAATGCACTAAAGGTAAGTTTAGGAGATTAATGTAATTCCTAAAGAGGGGATATGAACATGGAAAGTAAAAAAGTTAAATCCAAAATTATTCAAATCAATGACTTTTCTAACATTCCATAGCAAGAGTATAAAGTGACTTGTTAGTCTCAGTTATTTTCATATCTCACATTATTTATGGAATTTTTGGTACAAAGCAGTACTTAAAGTAGCAGAAGTTAAGATTTTTTATTTACTCTGTTCCACTGGACTTTCTGTCTTCCACAAAAAGAAATTGATATCTTTACTGATTATATTCTCAAAACATAGCTAAAGATGCTTTTAAGGGGATCAGAGGGTTTACATATTCTTGAGATGAGACCTGGAACTGGATGCCAAAGGGAGAGAGTCTATCGAATGGGATTTAGAATCAGTATCTACCAATTATTGCTCCATGGTGAAAATTTAGGGCAGCCTTTGTATTTATATGTAGGGAATTAAGGTAATTGACCACTTCATTTCAGTAAAATTTATGCAGAAATCTATAAAGTTAAAGGCTAATATTTATTATTTAAGTGTGGAATTCACCAGAGAGATCCCTAATGATTACTTTAGAACTTTTTAAAAAATGCTAAAATATTTGAAGTATGTTTTAAAGATCAAAATAAAGTACAATGTATTTTCTATTCAAATCTCTTGATCAAATATTTTTTCTGCTTTAAATTTAACCCCTAGGATGTTTTTGTTTTTGAGGGGTGTTTGCACGTGAGATGATAAGGGAGGGGGTATGTGGCTAGTCAAGCATGTAAGGTAAATAGAGGACACTGCTTTCTCCTGGTTCCCAGCCAGTTCCTTCTCATTGCTTAAATAGTATTTCATGGATCTTTTCATGTTTTAATGGTTTTTCTAAGATTAGGGAATATATATAAATTGTCAGGAGCTGTTAATGTTTCTAATATTAGCACGATTGAAAGTATTTGGTTTAGGTTATGCCAAATATTTAAAATATTTAATTTGGGTATTTATTTACCAACATGGAATTCACTTTGTGGCCTAATGGTTAAAATTCTGTGTTTTCACCCCTGCAGCCTGGGTTCAATTCCTGGTCAGGGAGTGAGTCTCTCTCAGTTCAATATTTACCAACATGGCCAGTTAGGTAGTTTATATTTTTCAACCTGGCAGTTAACTTTGTGTTAATTCTATTACCAGTCGTGTGGTTTTGGAAAAAAAAAAAATCTGATTTATTTGGTAACTAAATACATATTCTCACATAGAATAATTGATTGTAATTGAAGGTATTCAGTGATGCATCTTTGTACGTCATAGCCGATACTTATATTCCTTACACCAATTATTTGATACTATTGACACACACAGTATCTCTTTATTTTTGATCACAAAATATTCTATGTTGGTAACATAGAAGTATGCACCATCCCTAAAAAGTTTAAAGCCAGATACAGTTTATATTAGCATATCTAATACCTGACTTTCAGCCTTTCATTTCATTCTCAACTGAATATACTCCTTAAGTAGAATCATTGTCTCCTTTCTTGCAAACTTTCTCGGCACTGGTAGCAAACTGCTAAGATGATATTGACAGACATAACTTAATATGATAATATTAACAAGACTTTATCATTTATAATACTTGTGATTTAAACTTTGAGTTGGGTCTGGATAAGTGAATCTTAAAATTTTCTCTATTGCCTCATATACACTTCATGAAAATTATTGGTTTTTCTGTTTAAACTTATGTGAGTCATAGATAAGTTGTGCATGATAATAAATCCTTATGTTGTACAGAGGCAGTAATTTGGAGGAAAGACGAATACTCTGATTTGTTTTTGGAACATAAACACTATGCTATGTTGAGTGACACTAAAATAACAATTCTACTTTATTTTGGGTTCCAGATTCTTGACATACAAGTAGAGCTGGTCAACATGCATTTCAGCCATTTTATACGTTTTGGTTGGGCTTTGTAGTATTTCTGCATCCATCTTCCCTCTTAAGTTTTGTGAACCATTAGTAGATTTTTTTTCTCAGAGCCAATGTCCTTGGAGTTGATTTTATTTCCTTACCAGCATGTATCTTTGTTTACTTTGCAAAGAAATGCTCATTTCTTTTTTTGAGTAGCAAACCAATATCTTGTTCCTAGTTTATGTGAAATCAAAAAGCACGTTTCTAATTTGTATTACTTAATCAAAAAATATGTGGACTTTTAGTGAAAATAATATGTAAAAAGCCATTAATGTCTAATCATTTACACCAAAGGAAATTGAGGAAATGTCAAATTTGGTGAAGGTTATATCATTTTGGACAGGTCTTAAACATCTTGTTTTGTGTTTATTCTTCACTCTATTTTATCAGTATAGACTTTTTCTTCTAACTATGTGAAGCAAGAAGTCTTGATTTTAATGAAATGAAGTTCACTTGGCATCTATATGGAAATTGGGTGGTAATGTATTTTAATTTCTAAATTTGTGGCTTCTAATATGGCCAACAGAAGAAAAGTTTGGAAGCTTAGATTGTTTTGATTGTTTTCTTTTGATCCCCATGTAGAGTGGAAAAGAAACTCTTCCTTGTTTGTATGTTTTTTTTTTTTTTCCTGACTGTTAAAACTAAAATGGAATTTCTACAGATTGCATGCTCAGAATATCAGTAGTTCCTGAGTCCACAAGTTATCATTAATTTAAGACAACTTACATTGAATATACGTTATTTAGAAAATTACCTCCTTTGGTATATTCCTTTATTTTATAGGATCATTTCCACTTCTCTAGAGAGGCAGGGAGTGCTGAGGACACAGTTAGAAGTAAGGTGCCCAGTGAAGTTAATTCTTAAAATGTAGAAGTAGCTCTGTGGAAAATGATCACATCATGTTCATTTGTGAAAATGCATGAAGCTCATAATTGGAGACATTGGTTTGCATTTTTTAAATAAACTTTAGTTTAAGATTTACGGAAAAATTATGCAGATAGCATAGAGTTCCCACATAACTCCAAACCCAGTTTTTTCTATTAACATCTTACATTAACCTGTATGTTTATCACCTCCTTGAGAAGGAACTATCTACACAAATTATTTGGAATTCTGAACAAAAGATTTGTTTCTCCCCCCTTTATTCAGTCCATTATTCATATTAATAAGGACTTAATTGATATTTATTTTATACTTTGGGTTATAATCCAATACTACTTTAAGTATTTTTGTTGCTCAGATTGTTCCATCTTTGGCCATTGAGAGCTCTTTCAGTTGTTTCCCATATCCCTTTGACATACCCACCCCATCATTGTGTTTTTCTTTAAGCACTTCCCTCCTTTCTAGCACTGTAAGATGCTCTAGGCTCATCTTGTGTATCTCCTGTCTCAGTCTTAGAATCCGCCATTTTTGTAAGGATCATTCTGCATGTTTTACAGCTTGCCTTGTAGAAGTTTGGATCATGTCTACTGCATTTATTTAGAAATAATAGGTAGAGTTTTAAATCAAATTTTATTTCCAAGTGCAAGTTAGCAAAGTCTTTGCTTCCCTTGAAGAAGTTTGACAAGGAAAAATAAGATGCAAAAAGAAGAAAAAGTAGAAGTAGACTATGCTAATTTGGATTGGTTGAAAATTTTGGTGTGTAATCAGCAGTACCTACAACTTTTTAGTACGGCAGCATGTCAGTTCGCCAGGTGGCCTAGCCTTTCCTTGTCTGAAGGTTTAAGTGATGGAGGGGTTAGCATTCCCACTACCAGGGGATAGGGTGGTAGTTCTCCCAATACGTAATTCCTACAGTGATTCTGGTGTGATGTATGGAAGTCACCTTGCATGTGTCCTTAACCCTTAATGGAATTTACAGAGATGGGATTTAATTGATATGCAGAAAGATCCCTTTTCTTTTAGTTGTAGTGTTTTTTCAGAATTCATGTGGGGAAGTCAGCAAGAGTGTTGTTAATGTTTTATCCAGTTTGGTGTATGCGTAAAGGAACAATAATTTCAAAATGATTGACCCGATGCCTTTAGGGCGTATGAAGAACCAGCATTTAAAGACACAGTCTCTTTTTAGTTGTCATAGATTACATTTTGACCCTGGCTACCTGCTGTGTTGAATGCACAGATATTCTCATTTTAGTCCTGTTTAGAAAGAGCAGGTGACTAATGGTGTCAGTTAAAAAGTGATTCAAATTAAACAAGTCTGAAAGTATATTCTCAATAAAGGAAAAAGAAGAATTTATACTTGCATCTAAATTCCAAATCTGTGATTTATTATTTTCTGTATTTATTCTTTTTCAAAAAACTTCATTTGGGGAGAAAAAAATCTTAAAACTAAATCATATTTATTAGAGATGAACATATATAACTCAAGACTGTTTTCTCTAAGAATTGACCTGAGTTCTTTGTCTGCTCCATAGATTTGTTGTAAAAGTACAGAAATTTAAGTTCACAAGTTCACCGAAGGGTAGACTGCAGGCAGCTGTGATTCTTTATTATTTTAAGGAATTTCCCTATGATTATTATTTTGTTTTTAGGTTAAGAAGCCCTTTTTGCTCTGCAGTCTGGGCGCGCTCTGAGCCCCCTCCCCACGATGCTGTATGTGCACAATGGTTATTAGGCAATCCACATATCACGAGAAGGAGCACTCTTCCATAAGGTAAGGTGAGTCAGGGTCATTGGTTGTCTGTGCCATTTGGGAGAAAACTTAATTTAGCTTTTACTTTTCTCTTTTAAATTAGCTAATGTACACTAAGTATACCACTCACTAAAACAGAATCCAGGTTTGTTTTGATCTTGTTTCAATCTTTTTCTTGCGGGGTAGACCTCATTTAAGTGCCAACATCATCATTTCATTAAAAAAAAAATGTTAAAGGTGATTGTGAACATATAGGAATAGTTTTCATTAATGCCTTCTGATAGTTTTCAACATTTTCTCTTATACCACTGAGAACAAGCAAAAATCTATTCTGAAAGGATTCTCGTCTTAAAATTTCTAAGACAAGAGACAATTTTAATGAAGTAGTTAAGTGAAGAGATAAGGGAGAGTCTTGTTTATGAAGAAAACAAGTTATCAAGAAAGCTCTTATTTCTCAGTTTTCTCTGAGGAAATAGCTATTTGTAGCAGTGGCTTGATATTTTTAAACCATAACACTTAGTGATACTTATGAGTATGTAATGACACCATTTTCTATGTATAAAACAACATAGGATGTTTGTATTCTTAAGCTGTGATTATTCGACCTAAGTTAGACTTAAGTTTACCTTTGTACAGTCTATAACAAGAAGTTTTGCAAGGTAAATTATTGGTAGCAAGATTATCCTGAGATGTCTAACCTACATAGGAGAACAAAATGTCTTTAAAGGGCTTTATCGCAATTTTTTGTTATTTTTAGAAATGGAAGCTACTAATTAAGAGATGAATCTAATCTATTCCTTCAAATTAGCCCAGTTGGAATGGCTTTCTAGAAGGTCATTAGTTTAGGTTTCTGTATGTATTTAAAAACTGAAAAACAGCTGAAAATTTTTTGTACACATGTAAGACACAAGTTTTCACCATTTCAATTTGGACTTTTCCTATTTGTATGAGAATCTCATTTTATACTGAGTTTTAGCACACACCTCTTTTGGGACCTATGAGAAACTATGGAATACACTGTACTACTTTTCCTTTAAAATAATTTTATCATGGGGTTAATCACCACATTGTTTGGATTCATAGAGTTTTAAAATACATTGTATAGGCCGGGCGCAGTGGCTCATGCCTATAATCCTAGCACTGAGGGAGACCGAGGCGGGAGGATCGCTTGAGCTCAGGAGTTCGAGACGAGCTCTGAGCAAGAACGAGACCCCGTCTCTACTAAAAATAGAAAAAATTAGCAAGTCAACTAAAAATAGAAATAAAAAATTAGCCGGGCATGGTGGCTCGCGCCTGTAGTCCCAACTACTCGGGAGGCTGAGGCAGGAGGATCGCTTGAGCCCAGGAGTTTGAGATTGCCGTGAGCTGATGCCACTGCACTCACTCTAGCCCGGGCAACAAAAGCGAGACTCTGTCTCAAAAAAAAAAATACATTGTATAATCTTGCTACTTTGAATATTTAGAGAGTAAAACTTCTAGAAAACAGAAATTAGAAAAATGCAGAAGAGAATGTGACATAAAAAGAGGGATAGTAAAACATTCATCCAGTAACAAAGTGGGGAGGATAGAAAGAGAAACAAATAAACAAAAGGAAGGTAAATATAATTCAAACATTTTACTCTAATTTACTTAACCTGGCCCATTTTTTTCTCCCTCCAACCTTCCACACTTTGGGCTAAAAATAAAATATTACTAAAATACTTTAGATAACAAACCTAAAGATTTTTTTAAAACTCCTTTTCATAATTGTTTGTAGTCTTCCTATAATATCGCTTGTCCATTTGATAGCCATATTTACTAACTCTAATCTGTGATGGAACTTTTGAATGGTGTGTAACTTAAATCTTCTCTGTGGTGCATTAAGTAAATCAGAACTCCTAAGTTGGGTATTAATCTGATTCCTCTGACATCTCCCATCCTGTAGCTGCCCGACATCACCTCCCGTTTTACGTAAAATAATATTATGTTCATAGGTTGTTTGCTTTGAGTTTTCAAGAGGCTGCAGAAGAAATTTTCTGTTTCAGGAGTTTAGAAGTTTATGCCTTGCTTTCCTTTAGTAATCCTTTATAATCTTGGGGAAATTACCGAAAGTTTTGGTCTTCACTATGTGTTAACTACTAGTGTCAACTGTCATTAACAAAGTTTACTGATTTAGCAAATGGAAAATTCTGTGATATTTAATGGACACAGTATCAGGAGTCCAGTATTCTAAATTTCATATATTCTACCTTCCCTTAAAGGCTGATCCCTGTGACCTAATGAATCCTTTGTGAAAAGTGGACTCAGCTAGGATGTTACACCACCATTGTCGAAGGAACCCTGAACTCCAGGAAGAATTGCAGATTCAGGCTGCAGTAGCTGCCGGGGATGTTCACACAGTACGGAAGATGTTAGAACAAGGCTATTCTCCGAATGGCCGAGATGCTAATGGCTGGACCCTGCTACATTTCTCTGCAGCAAGAGGAAAGGAAAGATGTGTTCGGGTATTTCTAGAACATGGAGGTGAGTTTACTAGAAGCAAACCTTTTTTCCCAAGAAGAATCTTAAAATGAAATTATATTTAGTTTAAAATGTATATGTATGTATGTAATTCTTAATGCTTCTCTTTTGTTAATACTCAACATCTTATTTTCTCCTTTGTGAAGATGTTATGATTATACTGAGTTTTATTTAAAACCAGATTGTTTAAAAGATCAGTTTTGTGAATGGGATTTTTTCCTCTTGCAACTGTAGTTTCTGTACAGCTGGGTTTTCCCAGGTTATTTCAACTAAGCAACATTTCTAGGGGCTGTCTAGTTGCTTTTGTTTCTGAAGCAGAAGTGGCTGTGGTACCTGCAATTAGAGAATTGCCTAAGTTTCCCCTCTTGATAATTGCTCAAGCAGATAGATCTAGTACAGGTTCCTTTAAACGCCATGGCCCCAATGATACCCTATCTTTTGAATTTACTTCTTTTTATTTTGGGTGCTTTCTTTTATTATCATTGTTTTAGAGAACTTTCCTTTTCCACAAGTTGTACCTAGTTTGTAGGTATCCTACAAGATGATTGGTTATCAGAGTTCTAAATTTGTTTAAATGTATGTGGTTGGGAACTACATTTGACATTTTATGTTTTTGTTTTGAAAAACTGTCCATTCCCATGAGGTTTTTAAACTAATGATTATCCTAAATTAATTACTGGTTCCTCCAGTTGAATTTCAGCTTAATTTTCCTAAAGATGAATTATATACATCTTATCATTTATACCCATATTGCCTCTGTAAATTACAATGGTAAGCGGCTTGGTTGGGGGCTCAAGTTACATATTTACCATTCTAGGGCCTGAATTGCTCATTGGCAGTGATTTAGTTTCCTTCCTGAGGTGTACTTTGTTACAAAACTAGCCAAACTTACTTGCATTCTGAAGTGCAGAAAAATGTTGGAAGTCCCACAGCTCTCATGAGGGTCATATGAATTATGCGAATATTTGATTATGAAGGCTATCAGTGTGAACTAATTGCAAGACAATGCTTACCCTGAAACTAGAGTAGTCACATGTCCCTGGGGCCCTGAAATGGGAATTATATGCCTGAAATAGTTGACTATTAACAGGACCAGAAATTTGCTGGCCTGTGCCTACTTTGTAGCTGTCTTCCACGTCATTTCAACTTACAACTTGAAAACCTCAGTTATGAAGTTAATGAAGGGGAAACGTAAGCGGAATGCCAGGAGAAAGATCTGAAAAAACTATAAGGTGGGTGTAGGATCAGAACTTAAAAGTCTAGCAGTGCTTACTAAAATTAAGACCAAGATCAGAGCTCACATGTTTTATTACACCTAGTCCTATTAATTTCCACTTCCACCAGCCTCACTTAAAAAAAAAATTAATTAAAAAAAGTTGCACTATTCAGGTTAATACATGAATGTTGTCTCCTTAAAACAAATCTTCAAATAAATTACAAATACAGCCAAAGTCCCTTTGACCACCCCCAGTCCTTGTCTGCCTACCAATGCCCGGAAGTAACCATGGGTATGAATTTGGTTTGGTGCTTATCCTTCTAGAGCGTTTCCTAATAATATTACATGTACTCATAGAAATTATGTGTATTGTGTTGTGTGTGGTTTTAGAACATAAAGGATATACTGACTGCGTAATTCTGCAGCTTTTGTTTTTTATTCAACTATACGATTTAAAGTTTTTTTAGTATATTGTGTCTGCAAACTTTTTCTATAAAAGACCAGAGAGTAAATATTTTAGACTTTGTGGTACGTACTCTGTTGTAACTACTCAACTCTGCTGTTGTAGCATGAAAACAGCCATAGATAGTATGTCAAGTAATAGGTGTGTCTGTGTTCCAGTAAAACTTTGTTTATTAAAACCAATGATGGGGAAAAAGAAAAAGGAAAAAACCGATAAGGACTAGATTTGACTTATGGACGATAGTTTTTGAATCCTGTTCTCTCTTTTTCCATGTATCCAGTCATGTGCAGCGTAGCATTTTGGTCAATGATGGACTGCATTTACAATGGTAGTCCTGTAGGATGATAGTAACATTTTTATTGTAGCTTTTTTATGTTGAGATATGTTTAGATACACAGATATTTACCGTTGTGTTACAATTGCCTACTGTATTCAGTACAGTGACATGCTATACAGGCTTGTAGCTTTGGAGCAATAGGCATACAGCCTAGATATGTAGTATTATCTAGATTGTGTAAGTACATTCTATGATGTTTGCACCATGATGAAATCTCCTAATGACATATTTCTCGGAACATATCCCCATTGTTGCATAACACACACCTATGTGTATATATATATTTTAATTGCTTTATCGAGATATAATTCACATACCATACAAGTCACACATTTAAAGTGTACAATTCAATGGCTTCTGGTGTATTAATAGAGTGTTAGACATGCATCACCACAATCAATTTTAGAACATTTTCACTGCCCCCAGAGAAACCTTTATTACTTCTATTTTAATACATACAGATTTACTGTGCTCTTTTCAACTGCTGAATATAGTATTTACAAGTATGGATGTACTAACATTTGTTTAACCATTCTCTTTCATTGAGAACGACTGAAATTTTCTCAGCAGCAGATTTTATTTTTTGAGAGGGTAATACATTTAAGAACCACATTAAAGCTACTGTAGACTCATCAATGAGGGGGAAGTACCTTGTTTTTAGCTCTAGTCCCTTAGTCTTCTTCCCAGGGGCTGTCACTTTTACTGGTTTCTTTTGTACCCTGCAGAGATAGTCTGTGCATATAGGCAAAAATATTTTTCCATCCTCTACCTTCTAGCTTGCTCCCTTTTTTTTAATGTTCTGTTCTGCATCTTGATTTTTTTCACATTTCAGTGAGCTTGGTTCCTTGTCAGTATATGACTCTACTTCAGATTCCATTGTGTAGATGTAATTTGTTTACACCTATCTTCTATTGTTGGACATTTTAAGTTGTTTCCATTTTTCTGCTACTGAAACAGTATTACAGAGAATGTCCTTGGCAGATCTTATTACATATATGAGAGTTTATCTCTTGAATAATTCTTAGAAGTACAATTGCCAAGTCAAAAATTTTTGATAGATATTGGCAGATTATCCTCTAAAGAGACCATAATTGCTCCTGTCCTTACTGAGCAGGTGGGACAGCGCCCATTCCTCGCCTTTGCCAGTAGCGTATTACCAGATGGTTTGCTCTTTCCTGTGTGATACACTTGCCTCTTTTATTTATTTTTTTTCTCAAAAGCGACATGAGTAACAAAACATTGCAAGATTGGGCTTTTTGTCTGTCTTCCTGACTTGTAGGAATTGTTTATATGTTCTCCTTTGTTAGTTACAAGTTGCAATAATTGTCTCCCAGTTTGTAGTTTTTTTCACATTCTTGATGTTGTTTTTGTTTGGGGGCAGAAGTCTACATTTTAATATAGGTTAATTATATTTTTCTTTTACATTATGGTTTGTTCCTTTTATGTCTTGTTTAAGAAATACATCATACTGCAAGGTCATTATTTGCCTATATTTTCTTCTAAAAAGTTTTGTGGCATTTAGGTCTTTAATCTATCCAGAATTGGTTTTTATATATAATCTGAAGTGATTGGGTACGGTTTCACTTTTTTCCCCATAAAGATGGCCTAAAGCACCCCTTCTTCCTCATTGCTGTGCACTGCCAGGTCAGATATAAAGTTTTCATGTATGCGTGGTTCCATTTCTGAGTTCTTTAAAATAAGAACAAACATTTTGGAGAAGCACTTCCTTTGTTCTTATATAGCATCTTCTGCCTGCTCCTTTTCCCTAATAGAATAGGAGATTCAGAGAATGTTTTTCTTAGTACATTTTGAACCAGTTTGGAAAAATTAGTAGGAGAGGAACCCCCCTGCTCCCCTTTCCCATGGCCACATGTGTTACTTAGACATGTTCTGTATTTAGTCTAAGTCCTGGCTTCTGATCTCCAGACCAGTGTAGCCAACTGTCTGTTCAGCTTCTCCACTTGCTCACAGACATTGCCAGCACAGCACAAGCTGCTGCCACCAGAGTATTCATTCTCAGTAAATGACACCACAGCCTATGATTCCTATGCCACAAATCTAGAAACCATCCTTGACACCTTCTTCCTCACCTCCAATACGACCAATTGCCACGTCCTACCGATTCTGCCTCCTAAATAGTTGTCAAATCTTTTCTGTTTTTAATTTTTTTTTCCTATTTTTAGTTGTTTGGCTAATTTCTTTCTATTTATATTAGAGACAGGTTCTCGCTCTTGCCGAGGCTGGTCTTGAACTTCTGAGCTCAAGCAATCCTCCCACCTTGGCCTCCCAGAGTGCTAGGATTACAGGTGTGAGCCACCACGCCTGGCCATGATCTTTTCGCTTCTTTTCACTGGACACATTGCCCCATTCTCAGGCACAGAAACATCGTGCCCAACATCGTACATCACCAGGACTATTGCGATGGTCTCTTCTATCCCTGCATCCACTCTTGCCCCCTCCCAACCAGCGTCCAAATAATGTGATTTGTTAAAAATGGAAATAAAACTATTTCCTTTTAAAAATCTATCAGTGGGCCGAGCGTGATGGCTCACGCCTATAATCCTAGCACTCTGGGAGGCTGAGGCAGGCAGATTGTTTGAACTCAGGAGTTCGAGACCAGCCTGAGCAAGAGC